AAATATTTTGTAGAGAATTTTGTGATGTTTATTAATAAAATGTACTTTTTGAGCATAATCTTGTRTGTTTTCTTGGTACAGTGTATAGTTGTGGAAACAAACAGGTTGAGGTGGTTCTGTTCAYTCCCATGAGACCTTGCACCCTTAGTACTTCCCCTATTTTGTGTTTCCTTGGTAAATATTTCATTAGTTTGCACACAGGAAGCCCAAAATCTGAAGTCAAAATAATTTGTACGCCTTGGCTAGAAAATGTCACAAGAAGTATTACGATAAACAGTCCACAAAGATTATATTTTCTTTATTTTTCATGAAGGCAGAGCCTCGTACTTGCCTTGATTTAATAGATTGGGCTTCCTGTAGCAAACATTCCCTCCTCAGATGTCACGTGCCTGCGTTCCCTCTAGACAAGAGTTTTTGTAGTCATAGAAAGAGGCTTCAAAAACTGAGAAATTGTCACTAAATAATACAACAACAAAAATAATTTCATGAGGTAAAAAAATGAGTAACAAAGACTTCTCCTGATATCATTTTAAAAAAGAACTCGATAAATTCAAGAATTTCCTAATCAAATGAAAAATACTCATACATCTACAAAACAAATGAAAAATTACCCATTTTGTGGACTACCTGTGTCCAGTTCTGGAATCACGTGATCAATTAGCACGTTCCGGGGGTCCCCTCATAGTATTTGTCTAGTTTTCAGTTTTGCGCGCGCAAGTGGCCTTTAGGATAACCTCGATGCGGATGGGGCTATTTTTGAGGACACTTTTTGGACTTTTTTGCCCGAAAAAGCGTTTCTATCGATGCCTCTCGTCCAAAACAAGGTAAAAAACATTGACTTACATATGCTGTGTCAGATAAAATTTCGTTTTGATTTAATTTCGGCGCGAAAAAAGGATTTTTGTCGATCGTTTTTGGCTCACTTTGCTGGATTAAAAAGTGGATAAGTTATTGAAATGCAAATTATACTCATTTGTAGTTTTCACTTTCCACATAAAGAGAAAATGAAAATTAATTTATAGTACATAATAGTCTGAGCACCCAGCACCTTTCCTTTCCTAAAATTCAATTGTTAAAATATGTGTAAATAAAGCCTATGCCGGGACTGCTGAGTACAGAAATAAGAAAAGGGAGGGGAAAGAGGACAAGATTTGAATTTTTTTAAAGACCAATTATTTTTTAAAATTTATATTATTTTCTACTTGTTTTCCCTTGGACCAGGTTACCATCAAAGTGACATTTCTGCATAACGAACAAAAATTTAACTGATGTCTTTATTGTCCAACAATTGCATTTTAATTTAGTTATTATATTTTGATTAATCATTTTTATGTAWACAGTCTAATAAGTTTATCAGCTCCTGTTGTGAAAATCCATGGTTGATGTGGATGGAACATGCAGTCTAAAACACCTGAAAAAAAAAGTTGTTAACAAATTTCAGCTAATATTGCATAATTTACCACTTACGAAAATCCTTGCATTGTGACTTCTTCGTTTTGAAGTTTGTTTTGATTTGTTCTTTTTATTTTCTTGGATCTAAGGGGCGGGGCTTTTTGTAAACTCATTCAGTCATTGGCTGATTTGCAGCATGCTCCGCCCCAAAGTCACAGAAAAACCTAAATCACTATGATTTCTTTTGAACACTTAAGTCACGATGCAACGGTTTCTGCCGTAACTTAATTCAACTTACCAAGGTCTGATGTAACTCTGTGACCTTTTAGGATCTTTACTGGTACTAGAAGTGGATTCTGCATTAAATCACTGAAAATAATATACAAAAAAACATAAAAGTTGGTAAGTTCCACATTTTTGTCAGCCCAAAAATGTCTTATGAAATAAAGGGGTTGCAACATATCCTGGATAATTTTAAGACACTGAGTACTGGTCCAACCTGTGGACAGACACCCTGACCTCACAAACAATAGTCACAAACAATCAGTCTGTTTACGTCTTCGACGTAAACAGACTGATTGGAGAGCTTATTAGTTTACTAACATTCTCGATCACAATTAAGTAAAGCTCGATTAAAAAGTCTGCGTATTAGCTGCACGGTATAAACCTTCGATCGAACCACAACAACAACACCAGTTGCCCCTTGAATAAACAAGCAAGTGTATTCAAGACTTGTTCCTGATGTGTAATAAATCACATACATCACGCTAGAATCACATAAATAACATCTGAAATGTCAACTAACGAATATATAATATTGGGTCAGATGGTGGGGTGAGATGGTGGGGCGAGATGGTGGGGCGAGATGGCAAAGTAGGGGCGAGATGGTGGGGGCGAGATGGAATAGTGGGGGCGAGATGGCAATGGGGCGAGATGACCAGTAACGAAATTATTTGAAACACTAACACTGCATGGTCTGTGTCTTGATTACTTTTCAAAGTACAAATTAATAGAAGTAATTATTTCTTACTTGTAAACCATGCCATGGTATACGATGACAGTCCCATCATCGCTTGCAGATGCAAACAATGGATAATGTCTATGAAATGTGACCTGACGTAGAGCTTTTTTATGACTCCTGTACAGCAGATAAACAAAATCATTGATACTGGGAAATCATAAATCATATGAAATATAAATTGGCTATCTTGAAAGTTGAGAGCCCATTYACACTGWACCAAAACAACCACCAATGGCCTAAGCTTTCCTTAAAAGTTAACAGACTATTCACACTGTAGAAATACCAGGGGCATATCCAGGGGAGGGTCACAGGGTGCCCRTGACCCCCCCTTTCAAAGTTAAAAAAGCCAGAAAGCCATAGATTGATTTGACATCATAATTATTGACTTCATATGACATCATAGTGACAATTTGGTATGTAAGGACCCCCCCTGAATACAACCGCATAGCCATCTGCTATCTCTTGTAAGATGACAGTGCATTTGCAATGGAGCTTACAATTTATGATAAAAACCATTGAATTAATAATTAAGAGTGAACAAAGGCTTTTACCATCACATCCTAACTCTGTCATCTTACTTAAATGAAAAGACATGGCTACATTTTAAGTGGACACAGCAAGTAATTCCATGATGGATCTGATCAAGTGAAGATAACAATCTCTTTCAGAATAGTCTCCTTGACGGTTACGTGCGCCATCTTGAAAGGTAGCCGTGCCTTTGCATCGAAGCGAGACGACCGTTGAGCGTGCAATGATAGAAACCTTCTTTCATACCTACAGACAATTATTTACAGGTTTCTATCATTGCACGCTCAACGGTTGTCTCGCTTCGATGCAAAGGCACAGCTACCTTTCAACATGGCGCAGGTAACCGTGAAGGAGACTATTACTGTGAAAGAGGCAATCATCTTCACTTGATCAGATCCATCATTTTATAAAGATATTTATGTAACTACATTTTTACCATTTCTTCATAGACTCTACTGAGTTGATTTGAGCATCAATCATCACCAAACACACACAACATAACATGTACACGTATAAGCAAACTTTACCTTAGTGTTTTGTAAGGTTTAGTTGACAAATCCATGTCAAACCAGCATAATCGTTTGTCATAACTACCAACAATAACATTATCACCTAAAAAAAACGATGTCAGTGTCACTCCTGGCATTGATCTATAAAGAGCTACACTTAACCTATTACCTTGAGGATGAACTGCTATACTTGATATCCACTTAACATTTGATACTAATTTCTTTGCAAGTTCTTGTTTCATTAAATTGTATACTCTGATATATTTTTGAGTCTGTGGAAAGAATAAAACTTCATGTTATGATGTTTTAACATGTAWTAATCCACTTGTTYCTCTTCTATCCATGCTTACCGCAACAAAAAAGAAAGGTTTGTTGGGATGAAATGCAACTTTTTGGACTAATCCCTTTGCCTTTGTAAATGGACACTGGAAACAACACAATATTTACAAACAGTCAATAATCAAACTACATGGTATATATTTTTTCACTAAAAAAAAAATGCTCAAGTTTCTCATTCTTATATAAGTGTCATATGAAAGGTTACACTGCATTGATCATTGAGCTCATTCGTTTTCAAATTTCCAGACTTCCTCAGAATATCTGTTGACAAGCTCAAGTACAAACTGTTCTTGTAACTCCTCAATATATAAAAACACCAGTGCAAATTAATTTTACGTACTTGACTTCTTCGTTTTGTCAACTGGTGAATGAGAACTGCTTTGTTTCCACCTGAAATACAGTGTTCAAAATGTGAAAAGTACATGTACAAATAAATTCTGTGGGCCATCCTAAAAAGATACTAATAATCAATATAAAAGTGACCATCATTGTTACATGTACATCTTATACCTTGAGGTTGTACTGTAGCAAAGTAATCTCCCTTTGAATGCCATGTTATTTGTGAAATTTGCTGGAAAAAAATAGTTTAAAATGTGA